GACTATCACCACTGCCTACTACAGAGGGGCCATGGGCTTCATCCTAATGTATGACATTACTAACGAGGAGTCTTTTGCTGCTGTGCAGGACTGGTAAGTGGATTTAAAGCTTACATCGTGCATTATGACAGCCAGAGCTTCTGCTTTCAAAAGAAGTATTCATGAGCTTTTCACTGTGTGTTTCCGTCTGCCTGAAAGCGTGAGACATTCTTCAATCTTCATTAAGAGAATTCAATTTATCCAAATCTTGCATTGCTAAAAATGTCTCTTGCAAGCATAAAATATCATTCATGCCTGTCGATCCTGGAGTCAAAATCTATAAATGAACGTCAGGAATCATATCAGGAACATATCATAGTGATTTTATAAAGCAGAGCACAGTTCAAAAAGTAGATAGAAAGTACAGAAATATCACATGGGTTTGTGTAAAAACTTCACTTGTTTTTTAGCGTCTAAGCCAAAACATGTGAATAAAACAGTGTTTAAATTTAATTGAAAATAATGTGTTTTTTTTACTTTAAACCGCATAAACACATTTCATTACACCAAATACACAAAATAATGTTCTTTTTAGCAGCATCATATGACCCCTTTAAGTTTTAATAGTACAAAATAAACATTTTGATAGTTAATGCAAAAATGAAAATTATGTAATTATTAGCTCACCCTCATGTCATTCTAAACTTGTATAAGAACTTAAAGGAAGCTATTTTGAAGAACATTGGCAAGATGTTCTATGTATGGACCCACTTTTCTTAAAATATCTTCTTTTGTGTTTCACAGAAAAAAAAAGAAACTCATATTAGCATGGAACAACATGAGGGTGTTTTCATTTCATTTTTACAAATTATTTTATTAAAGTAACTTTATAAAAGACATTTTTTTAGTTTAGAATGGTTCAGTGCTCAAAATGGTCAAAGTTATTTTAGGAAAAAAAATATTGTTAAAAAGTATAATTATAGAATTATATAAATAATAATAAATAATGAGAAACAGGAACAGAGAGGGACACAGTCTGAAGAAGTGTGTTCGACACGACGTTTCCATTGATTCTGTGTGGCATGATGACATATTCATACGATAAAACTGTCAAACGTTTTGGTATGAGTCTGGCACATCTTGTGCTGGAGGATGTATCAGTGGCATTTGTCCTGATGACAAGCATGTCTGCTCGCTTTTGTCTCGTCTTGTGTCAGGGCGACCCAGATTAAGACATACTCTTGGGACAATGCCCAGGTGATCCTCGCAGGAAACAAATGCGACATGGAGGAGGAGAGGATAGTGTCTGTGGACAGCGGGAGACTGCTAGCAGAACAGCTGGGTGAGTAAAAAAGATATATATATATATAAGTATATAGTAAAGATATATATATATATATATATATATATATAAAACGTATGTACAATATTGGATGTTTGCTGATATCTAAAATGCCAATATTTTTAAACTCATTTTAGCCGATATCCAATGCCGATACCGATATATATGTATATGTATTTATATATGATATATATTTTTAAATTTGGTTAGTTTTGAGCAAATACATTGTTTGGGGTTAGAAAGATTTTAAAGAAATCAAGACTTTTATTCTGAAAGGAACACAGTAAATTGATCAAACTGGAAAGAAAAGACATTTATAACATTACAAAAGATTTATATTTCAAATAAATGCTGTTCTTTTGAACTTTCTATTCATCAAACGCATCACGGTTTCCCCAAACACATTAAGAAACACAACTGTTTTCAACATTGATAATAATAATGTTGTCTTGAGCATCAAATTGACGTATTAGAATGATTTCTGAAGAATCATGTGACACTGAAGACTGGAGTAATGGCAGCTTAAAAATCAGATTTTCCATCACGTGAATAAATTACAAATGTACTCATTTTTGATCACATAATAGAAGTCTTGATGAGCATAAGAGACTTTAAAAACGTACAAATCTTACCGACCCCAAACCTTTGAAAGCTAGTGTGTATTCCCTTTACATATCATACTTACCAATCTCTCTTTCCGAAAAGGATTTGAGTTTTTTGAGACAAGCGCAAAGGACAACATCAACGTCACGCAGACTTTTGAACGCTTGGTGGACGTCATTTGCGACAAGATGTCAGACACACTTGAGGCCGACCCCGCCGTCACCACAGGAACGCCCACTACCAGACTGACGGACAACCTGACGCCCCCGCAGCAGTCTGACTGTAGCTGCTAGAGTTCACCGTCCACCGTCCAGGCCGTCCGCTTCTGTGGCTCGAGTGCTGTTGCCAAGCTTCTGTCTTTGACACAGAATAAGTTACTGAACCTCAAATCTTTGACCTGGCTTTAACTCCTAGTTTTTTTGGTGTTAATGACATAGCAAACTAGCAAGATTGTGCCAAACACAAGTGTCAAACCTTGTCCTTTCTTTATGCCATTATACAGGTCTTTTTTCAGGGGTTGTTAGTGTACCTGTATTCCCTGCACTGCAATATCTCTCCTATTAGTCATTTTAGCAAAGATGCTCCGCAATCATTCCCATGTCTCTCAGGGGAATTATAAACTTCTGCAAATTTATAAATTCTACCTACTTGTCTAATTTATGTGTAATAGATTGAGAGGATGTTGTACTCGCATTTTGCTGGTGAGTCAGTTGGATATGTTTGTGTGTGACCACTTGTATGGAAAATGACTGCGAAAGCTAAAAGTATGAGAAAAAATAAATGTGGCCTTGAAGTGGTTCTCTTGTCTAGATCCAGTCTTTCACATGGTCCCGTACAGACAGCTGCTACTAAATCTGTATCTTCGTTCTTTTATTTGAAATAAAATCAAATAAAAAATCAGTCTGAACCAGGGTTATTATAGTAAACTAACACCATAAAAAGTGTTACTTGAAATAAAATATTAAAAACTTAAAACCTTATTTTATTTCAGCTAGCTGCTAAGAAAAGAAAACATTTGTCATTTTCATTTAGTCTATCTTGACATACTAAAATAACTAAAACTGGAATAAAAACTGTATATAAAAATAAATTGTATTATTAGAAAATTATATATTTAATAAACACACACACACACACACACAATCAGATCAGGCCAAATGTAACTTGAACAGTCCATCTGAAACAAAATGTCATTTAAGAATAAAATAAAACTAAACAAATCATAGATTTGATTATAGAAAGATTGCAGGATATTTTCAGAGGAAACAAGAGACAGCATCATAGAGTCAACCCATGCTTTTATTTTGGTGCATATAAAAAAACGTTTTTTATTTCTACAGTTCTATCCAATAGACTGCGATAAACAAGGAGTCCAATAAACAACTACACGGTCTTGTGAAACCTCCAGACAAGTTTTGTCAATCAAGTCACATAACAAAAAAATAGTTATCCCTAAATATCATTTGTCAAATTCTGTTTGTGTATTTTTCTCATGATTTAAAAAGAGTCGAGAAGGACACACTGATTTCATTCATTTAGGGTCAATAAGAATCTACAGTATATGTGTCAAAATGAGTCCCAAATTGAGCGTTTGGGCTTTTTGTGAAGGATCTGGAAATCAAAATGCCCTGTTTTCCCCCAAACAGAAAGATGGTTTCTCTCATATTGCATGAAACGCAAATGTCTTCGAATGTCTCAGTCAGACGAACACAGCATAGACGGAAATAGGATGGAGGTTCTTACAGCTGGTCGCAAACCCAAACCCATGACACTGGCCTGCTTTTACCCTGTCCGATGAGGTCTGACAACTTTTGTCTATTTTTTTTTTGTCTGTTTGTTTGTTTTATGCTGGGAGCATTTATGCCACATAAACAGGAGGAACACGACAAACACATCTAGGTCAATTTCCAGCCAGTAGTTTCTTTAGTGCAGCAAGAGGATAAAATCTAAAGAGCTATCTGTAAGGCACAACCCTCAGGCCACGGAACCACTTTCTTTTAAAAAGAAAGAAAGAATGAAAGTAAACACAGTAATGACTATAATTTGGCTTTCCCTTTCTCTACGCAATCTCTCTAGAGACACATATCAATGGGATCATTACATACTAAGAATAACAAACATTCTCTCAGTAAGAGTTCCATAATACAACACCATCACCAAAAGGGATGATATAATCATTTACAACCACATGATAAGAGCAACAATATGTACTGTACAGCACAATAAATACATGTATGTAAACAGAGAGAAATTAAAAACAATGTAGAGAATGGAGACAATTAAAAAAATTTTAACTACTAATAAAAAAGCAAACTTGGCAACTGAATGAGTTTTAAATAAAGACAGCAACGAGAAAGGGGTCATTTCAAAAGGCTTCCATATTATACAGAATTGTGTACATTTGATTAGGTATATTTACTGCATATGCATAATTCAAATAATATATTAAGGAAAACTGACTCATAAGCCTGCATCGCCGATGCTACAGTTCAATTTAAAAAACGCTTTAATATGCTACAAGCACATCAAAGAGCATTAATAAATAATGCTAGCATGAACGTAACAAAACGAAGAGGATGTTTGTACAGTAGGACACTTGACAGAGATGAGTAAAGCAGCAATTAAAAACATTGCGACTGGTAATGTTTGGCAATGTCAAAAATAACCAAAATAAATACTAATTACAAAAAAACAAAAAAGAAAACGAAAAGGTACACTGCAACTAGATTCACACTTACAATGAGGCTCTGCACTGAAGCTGACTGTCCCATGATCATGTGACAACAGAAAGCACTAAATTGAGCTTGATCATTTATGTCAGATGGCACCAAACAGCTGGCAAACATTTCTGAGAAACAAATGAGCAGGGCCATAATAATAATAATAATAATAATAATAATAATAATACAAATATTATTATTTAATTATAATAATAATTCATATTGTTATTTATAAAGTGATAACCAGGATTCATTTTACTCCATTGCTAGCAAGATAGACAACAATGATAGGCAACAAAATCATTTAAGGCTTATTCAAGCTATTATTTCATAACTGATTTATAACAGAGTTCTTGTTCTTGGGCAAATACATTTTTTTAAAAAAAAGTTGAAATACGGTCATAATCAGGTATTATTAAACAGAGCAACTTATTGTTCAAAAAATAATATTTTAAAATTATTTTCAGATCTGGATTGAATGCAACAAATAGAGGTATAACAAAAAAAAGTGGAAATTACCACATTTACATATTTACCCCAAATATGGTTATTTAAATGAAAATGAGTATTTTCAGTGCGAAAATGGTGTCTCACGAGTTCTTTTCACTTTGGTACCATGTTCATTGACTTCAAATAATGACTGATACACAAACACAACAGACAGCTAAATCCAGATCAATAACACATTCAAGGCATCAGGAAGACGTGAAGTTCAAAGCATGGAGTATTCACTTCTAAAGTGTTTGTCTGCTAAAATACTTCGAGTTGCCACTTTCCTTCAGATAAACAGGAACAAATAGTGTCTCGTTGGTGAAAAACAGCTGCTTTCTGAGTTAAATGTTTCTGAAATACTGTTTGTCAAAAAAATAAAGAATAGATAAAGTACCTCACAATCAGGAATACAAGTCGAGCTTTTTAACCTTTCATTTGTTTAGTTTGTCTGTATGAATGACAGGTGGAAGTAGAAAAGATATTCCTGAGTGTAAAAATGGCTAAAACTCAAAGAGTGAGGAATGAAAAATAAAAAAACAGGTTAAAGGCGGACATTTAAAAAGCACTTCTGAACGACGTATGCAAAATAGACAATGAAAAACACTAATATCTTAACCATAAATAAGTGTTTCTCCTCTCTAATATAAAAAAGTTCAGGTGCCGTGTCATACTGTGTTATGTGTTGGCAGTGTCCTCTTCCTCCTCCTCCTCCTCTTCCTCCTCTAAAACACAGGGTTCTGATATTTCCCTTTCCTCCTCCTGCTCGTCCTCTTCGTTCTCGTCCTCGTCCTCCTGTGCGTCCCCCACCTGCTCGTCCAGGGGGATCTCTGTACATTCCGAGTCCTGTGTGCAAAGGGTTTTAGAGTCACTGCAGCTGTTTTCCTCCTCTTCCTCCTCCTCCTCTTCATCAGGAGGGCTGCCGCTGTCCTTCTCCGTGTCGGATTCTCCGTCCTCCTCCAGAGTCAGTTCAAACTGGAACTTATCCTGGCCGGCGGTGCGTCGGCCATCGCTGCTGGTGTCCAGCGCTGGAGAGGGGCTCTGGGGGATGGTGCTCTGGTACCACTCCCTGTTGTCCTCCAGCGTGTCCAAGATGTCCTGGGCGTCTGGGTGCACCAAGTCTGCCCACGTCTCCCACAGTGGGTGCACAATGTAATCGATGAAGCCCACCTAGAACAAAAGAGAAAGAGAAAAAAAAAATTCCTTTGAAAGAAGGTTTGTATACTGTCGTAAAATATTTATTAGTATACACAATATATTGAGTTATCAGTTTTTACATAATATCTACTGAGGTATTTAAAAGGATTTATAAAATATCTGGCATATACACTACCATTCAAATGTTTGGGGTCAGTAATTTAATACTTTTCTTGAGCAAGGACACGTTAAATTGATTAAAAGTGAAGACATTTATACGAAATATTTCTATTTCAAACAAATGCTGTTCTTTTGCAACTTTCAAATATTAAGCTGCACAACTGCCTTCAACATTGATAATAATAAGAAACGTTTCTTGAGCAGCAAATCAGCATATTAAAATGATTTCTGAATGATCATTTGATACCGAAGACTGGAGTAATGACTGCTGAAAATTCAGTTTCGCCATCACAGGCATAAATGTTTTTAAATATATTAAAATAGAAAACAGTTATTTTCAATAGTAATAATATTTCAAAATATTCTTGTTTTTACAGTGTTTTTGATCAAATAAATGCAGTCTTGGTAAAGACTTACCAAACCCAACCCAAACATACATTCGCAAAAATGTTAACCATTTGATGCATGAATTAAATCATGAGGAAAAAATAACCTCTTTACTTTTTCTTTAAAATAAAATATAATAATTCATAATCTGTTTATTTTTTCAACAATATATTTTATATAATAACACCAACTCCATGGGATTTATGCTGTAATAAATTATAATACACAAAAATAACAATAACAAAGAGGACAGCCATATAGACTTATGGGTAAGGCTCAGAAGGTCATCACATGGTAGTTTGGATGTAACATCCCACCCTGAATGGTTACAGTTGCTTTAAACATCTGACTCCATGCATAACGGTTACAAATAAAAATCTTTTTTCTTTTAGTTTATTACCCTTGGGGCAATTAATTCAGACTTTCGTAGTGCTTCACAAATACAACACTTAACACACACATACAAATACTCAAAATACACCAAATACATAAGAGAAGGGAAAAAATAATAATAATAATAAATCAACTAAATTTATTACATAAACGTATTGCTTCAGGCACAAAAGTAAATTTGTACCGATTTGTGGAACATCTAATTGACCTTAAACGTCTCCCAAGGGTCATCCACTTAAAATAATCATTCAAAGGGTGTGTGCAGTCTCCTATAATTTTATGTGCCATCCTCATCACTTGCTGTTCATAATAAAACGTAAGACTTCGCAAGGGAACCTAAAATTTTTAAACACATATTAACAATACCTTGCAAACGATTTTTGTTCTTTGTAGACAATAAGGAAAACCAACAAATAAAGGAAAAGGACAGGATACTTTCAACAAATGAATTATAGAAAGTCCTGAGAATGACTCTCTGTACATTAAAAGAATTCAGCTTCCACAACACATACAATCTTAGATGTGACTTTTTAATGATTGCATCTGTGTTTTATCACTATTATCAATAATCGTTCCTAAATACTTGTATTCTTCCACTACATGAACCTGTGTGTCATTAATGACTTTGAGGTGCAAGTGTTTTCTTACTAAAATTGATGATCATCTCTTTCGTTTTTGACACATTCAAATCTAATTTCATCCTATTACACCATAAAATAAAATCATCCAAAACCGGACCATATTCCTGATCTGGATATGACAGCAAAGACAGAAGCACAGTATCGTCTGCATATTTGACCAAATAACTATTATTGTACAAACTCTGACAATCATTTGTATATAAAATGAAAAGAACAGGAGAAAGTACACAGCCTTGTGGTGAACCTATAGAAATATTTAACGTGTCCGATAAGACCCCATTAACTCTAACCTTTTGTTTCCTATCTGTTAAAAAAATTCACAATCCATAAAACTAAACCATGGTTAAAATTAAACTGACTAATACGTTTTTGCCCTAAAATAATAGGTTGCAAAAAATTCAATGCAGACGAAAAGTCCACAAACAAAAGCCGCGCAAAAGCTCCACTATTTTCCAGATGTCGACTGAGAGCATTCAACATTTAGGAACATAATATAGAGTTAAATATATATGAAATATATAAGCTTGATTATTTTGTGTTCCATTATTTCATTCATCTTTATCTACCCTGAGCTGGCTTACCTGGGACTTCTCGACTGAAGCGTTGTGCTTGTCACACATGGGGCTGATCTCCATGCCGCGCTCCCGCTCTCTGTCCCCCTGACTGAAGAACTCCTCCATGATGCGGTCCGTCCACTGCTTGTACAACTGCAGCGGCTTGGTGGGGTTACTGAGGTCTGCACAGTGCACCATGTTCTGCAAGACCTGAGACACAGCCAAAAGCTGTCAGTTACGCATTCAAATGAATATTTACATTCATTTACATATTCAGAAGTATATTATCATATTCAAAATTGGGTGCTGAATTCTCAGAGCGGAGGCTGTTTTTTTTTTTATGTATTCATATATTTTATGTAAAACAATTCTACATGAATACAAATATTACTTTTAACACTACTTTTAACAAGCTCAAATCATCATCTTTATTTCCATATCTACAATACAAAATGAGTTTTAATAAAAGGACCAACCTGTATCCTGTCAGAGTAGTTATCCAGCAGTAATACCCCAGAACTGGTCACCTTTTTGGTCTCCACCATGGTTTTCAGATCCGCCAACAAATTCATGTGCTTAGACATGTCTGTGGCCAGAACCTGCAAAATAGGATGGATGATCATCAATTTTAGCTGAAGAGAACCCATTTTCACATCAAATAAAGTTTAGTTCCATATTACAAGTATCAGTGCAATTAAACTGCAAAAACAGTCCAGTGTGATAAATTATAGCTAAACTATAGACCGACGACACATTTAACATCGTGACTCACAATGTCAATGACCATCTTGCGGAGTGACTGTCTCTGTTTCTTGGTCAGGTTCTGGAAGATGTCACAGTTCTCTTCCTGCAGCAGTTTAAAACCTACAGCCAGATGATGATTCTCCAACACAGACGAATCATTATACATGAGGGCCAGCTCAGAGTCTGAGATGGGAGAGAAAAAAAGAGGAAGCACAATTAATTCTATACTGTACTAACTCGACAGCTCTTGTATTTGTAATTCTTGGTGGACTTTCTATGTAGAGTATAGCAACCTAAATAATACATTTCAGTTTATTGGAAGGCTACAGTTTTGCTTTAAAAGGGCGCACAAGTCGTATGAACCACTTTCATGGTGCTTTTTTTTTGGAGCTTGACCTTTCAGAACTGCGTAACGTTTCATCAAAATGTCTCGTTCCACGGCTAAAAACAGCAGCATATAGGTATGGAACAACATGCATCCTCCTCTTGTGTTCAAGTTCCTGCTGAGCTTGTGACAAGCACCACTGGTCCCTCCATTAGTCATTGAGGGGATTTTACCAGCTGTGCGGGTGGGACACGTGAGTTTTGTGATTCACCGACACATGTAGCCCACCTAGCACATGCATCCATAGCATGTGAAAATCGCCCGATTGACCACTTGCTGCACGTGATAACAGCTTAAACGTATTGATTCCTCTTTGTGCGGGTCTGCTACTTTGAACAAACGTGATTAAGCTAAAAGTGGTTCTGACAGCTGTGAAAAACATTGCACACATGTAAATTGTAGGAAGCAACGTGATGCTCCTTTACGGATACAACGGGAATAGGGTTTGCTTTTTTGATTTAGTATAGTATGTAGACTTTTCCCAGTCAACCTGGACCATGTATAGCAACTTTGCATTTTAAAGTATAACAGAGGTCTTAAAGGAATAGTTCACCCAAAAATGGAAATTTGCTGAAAATTTACTCAACCTCAGGCCATCCAAGAGATTTTCTTTATCAAAACAGATTTGGAGAAATGTAACATTACATCACTTGATCACCAATGGATCCTCTGCAGTGAATGGGTGCCGTCAGAATGAGAGTCCAAACAGCTGATAAAAACATCACAATAATCCACACGACTCCAGTCCATCAATTAACATAAGCTTTTGCTAAAATACGAGTACTCTATCCATAATATTGCTATGCGGTATGAAAAAGTCATATCAGTCTGAATCAGGAGAGAAATATGAACAGACCAAGCACCGTTCACAAGAAAAAAACAGCCAGAAGCAACAGTTTAAATTTAAAAGTCTTTGTTTCTTACAAACATGCAGATTTTCACTTTACAAGACGCTAATTGATGGACTGGAGACATATGGATTACTTGTGGATTACTGTGATGCTTTAATCAGCTGTTTGGACTCTCATTCTGATGGCACCCATTCACTACAGAGGATCCATTGGTAAGCAAGTGATGTTATGCTAAATTTGTCCAAATCTGTTCTGATGAGGAAACAAACTGATCTTGGATGGCCTGAGGGTGAGTAAATTTTCAGCAAGTTCACATTTTTGTGTAAACTATTCCTTTACTGCCACAGCAGCAAAAGAAAGTTTAATAGTAAAGTGTCATGTTCTTAGAGCTAGAGACTTACTAGTGTTGATGAGAAACTGGTTGGAGACGCCAGGATGGTCAACATCATGTATCGCACTGGCAAATATGGCAGCGAGAATTTCAAGGTCTGTAAACACAGCCTGAAAATAACAGACACAGAAAGATTTTCTTAAATCTCACATCATAGTCCACTTTTTTAATACCCAACAATCAGAAGAAACAGCATTGCATACTGGGACAGCAGTATCATACCTCAAGGGCAGGGGTTGATAACAGGACGTGAGTGGACTGTGTGACATCAGCAGCGTGGATGTTGTTGTGATAGGCAACGTCAGCATGGTAATGGTCCTCTAAAGTCATCAGATAGGTGATAAACGTGTCGAGGGGAATTTTAAACGTCTTTAACAAGTCCCTCTCCTACAGAAAGACAACCCATATGGTTTGTCCTTGTTAGCAGGAAAAGACATTAAAGCAAACTTGAGCTTGAGGGAACAAATACTGTAAAAATGTACCTGGAATATTGTGTACATCATAACCGTTAAAGGTCTGTTCCCAGAAAATTCTGACACTTTGAAGACATTAAGGCCCCATTTATTTACATCTTCAAGCTCCTGAAATGACACAGTGAAACATATAGTTTGATTTCCTATATTGAAGTTTTCTGTACATCTCTAATTTATAGCCATATTATTTTATACACTACCGTTAAAAAGTCTGAGGTTGGCAAGATTTTTTAAATGTTTTTGAAAGAAGTTTCTTATGCTCACCAAAGCTACATTTATTATATCAAGAATACAGTAAAACAGTGATATTACAATTTTAAAAAACAGTTTTTTTTTTTTTTTTATATTTTAAAATGTAATTTATTCCTGTGATGGCAAAGCTGAATTTTCAGCAGCCATTACTCCAGTCTTCAGTGCCACATGATCCCTCAGAAATCATATTATTATGCTGATTTAGTGCTCAAAAAACAATATTTTTTTTATTATTATCAATGTTGAAAATAGTTGTGCCGCTTAGTATTTTTATGTAAACAGTGAGACATTTTTTCTGGATTCTCTGATGAATAGAAAGTTCAATATAACCAAAGACTATAGAATACCCAAGACGTGTCACTCGTATAGTTTTGAATGGGGAAAAATGCAACGCTCAATATGGCCACTCTATCGAACGAAGCCCCGCCTTCTGAGGAAAAGAGCCAATCGCTAATCGGTAAAGTCAGCGTGTTAGAAGTCGCTGTTGCTATAGAAACAGTCAACGCTCTGAGACATGCGCCTAGGACTGCACATGCGCACTGGCTGGTCTAGCCTGAGAAATAAATGCTTTTTAAATGCTATTTAATCATAAGCTTTGCGAACAGTTTTGGAGAATTTGATGATTTCCCATTCAAAGAGATAGGAGCTGCACTTGCATGCCCGAGAGGTGTTTCAAAGATGGCCGCCGAGTGACATGACTTGCCTTAAAGGGACTTTGATATAACAGCATTTATTTTAAAATAGAAACATTATAAATGTCTTATCTATTTAACATATCCTTGAAAAAAAAATTCCGAACTTCTGAACGGCAGTGTATTTTTTTATATTTTAAGGCTTTATTATATAAGATAATTTATTTATTATTATTTAATATATATTTTAAGATTACCTTGGCCAGCTCATCTTCTGTTTCAGTTTTGACTCCAAACCGAGGGATGTTAGAGTTGGTAAGGCTGGAACTGTGCGTTAACTTTTTTACACCACTAATCTGGGACATCGGCCTTTTCTTCTTCTCCTTGTCTTTCTGGGACTGGGGCGATGGCATTTCCACCTCGTGTTGCTTGTCTAGAGAAACAGAAAATGCTCAGAGAAGGTTCGAGAAATCAGGCACTAAGTTTTTACACCACTAATCTGGGACATCGGCCTTTTCTTCTTCTCCTTGTCTTTCTGGGACTGGGGCGATGGCATTTCCACCTCGTGTTGCTTGTCTAGAGAAACAGAAATCGCTCAGAGAAGGTTCTAGAAATTTTTGTAAAAGAATAGTGGGCTATGGTCATTTAATGGTCTCACTTGTGGCTGATTATTTAGCTACACGACCGTCAGGCTACAGAGCTGCTGTTGACCTGCTTTTTGCTCATAATCAGTACTTCAGTTGTCCTAGTTCTCTGAGTTTCCCCAAAAGTTTCACACAGCCGCCCTCCTCCAGTCAAAATGCTTTGACTCATTTGTTCATTTAAAAATGCTGTGCATGTTGCCACATAACATTATAGTTGTATTCTACACTCAATGTATGTAAACATCCATGTTTGATCTTTATTATGGTTTTCGTGGGACACTCACCTAAGAATGTACTGGAGATGAACTCAGACACCTGGTTACCAGATCGGCTCATCTCAGAGAGGTGAGTCAATTCTCTATTCAACATCCTCTTGAACTATTGAGAGATAAACAAACAAGGAAATTATATATATATATATATATATATATTTTTAAATTTTTTTCTGAGATTTTGACATATTTTGTGTGAAAAAAGTATGACTGTTTTTTGAGTATCCATAATTATTTATGGAAAAACTGAAAAAAAATAAATAAATCAAAGTAAAAATATCTAGTGTGGAGGTGTTGTGTAACATTTTAGCACCATTGTCCAAACACCCTCTCTTTTATTCACTGCTCTAGAAACCATTTTACCTTTTTTAATCATTTAATGGATTTTCCGTTGTCAGCTATGTCGCTATCTGTTAGCAGATACACCATGATATCAAGGCTGAGTCCTCCAAACAACCCAAAACATATGAATCCTCTCACACTGTTGAGATTGTCAGGTCAAAACGACCTGCTGGGTCACACCAGATAGACCTTTTTCCCCGTTTCTAACAAGATTTGCAGACACCAGCTAGAGATGAAAACCACCGCATGATCAAAAATAAACTTGCTAATGTGCGCAAACAAACAACTAAAACAGCCCAGCGACAGCACATGATGTGCTGGTCCTTTTTATAGTAGTTTGGTTCAAATAGTGAATCAGCCTAAACGAAAATAGGAAAGTAAAAACTAACAAGGCATAGAATAGAAATAAAAAAAGAAAATTTAGGTTTTTAAGTACTGTAATTATGATGAAATGCAGATTTTAAATATACATAATCTAAACATAAAAATACAAAAATGCCATTAATTAACAAATTCATTCATTTAGATACCTGTCGTTAGATATCATGTTTCTTTATGCAACCTTTGTTCTTTATGCAACCACATACTGAACACCAGTAATAAACAATAGCAGCCCATCCAACCTCATTCCAATATAAGAATACAGTATTTCATGATTGATTAGCTTACCTTAATGTATCCCCAAGAAACTGACAGCAAATAATTTGCCTCAGGCATTTTGAATGAGTAAATCCAGATAGCAGATGAAATTAGAAAACACTGGCTGATAGGTAAGACGAACACAAACTGCTCAGCGAGAGGATCTCAAAGCTCTATTTATTTTGTAATCCACCTGAACTAAGGTTATGATATTACACTAAACCCCATCTGAAAAGTCCAGAAATTCCAAGGCATTCCTTGTGATGGCTGACTCCATTGTTAAGAAACCTGGCAAGATTCTATCTAAGACAGAGGGGGGCGTGAAGAAGCCACGGCATTGTCTGATAGCATCTATCCGTGAGCTGCGCACTCAAACCAAATAGACTGAAAAATGTCTGCGCTTTGGAAGGAAAATATGCCCAGTTAACAGCTTCCAAATAAGGTTGCGTTTCACACAATCATTCAGGTGAGAGTCTCTGACTGCAGCCCTGCCAATCAGGCGGCTCCTCCAGATTAGAATGAGCTCATCACTGCAGCCGATTGGCCGAGCCGAGCTCGCATGTAAATCCTCTGCAAGTGCTTTCCTCCTCAGGACCCCTCCCACTTCACCCGCTAGATGTTTGCAGCTCAGTTGGAGGATGTGTTTCTTTGTACGAGAGCTCTTTAATACAGCAGATAGCTCCCCAAAAAGGCACACAGTCATTATGTGTGGTTTGGATTAATGTGTGTTCACGTCACGTTTGAATATGCGCATATGTGTGTGGACAGATGCGGGTGTATGTGTGGAGGGGTGAGGTAATCTTCATGACATGATGTGAGGTTTGGAAGTGGACATTGTGTCAGCCAGACTCATAAAATATTCAGTGAAGTTCATTCACATAAATCCACAGAGGGGAGTCAATGGAGAACATATGTCATATGAACAAGAACAAAACAAACCGATGACGCCGTGCTAGATTTGTCCTGGTAAATTGTTAATGAGCCCTTGAATAAAGCAAAAACTATGCCGGGAAATGTGCCATTTTATTCTTTTACTGATTGTAACTGGGGAAAAAAACAACAATACAAAACAATAAATTTTTTCCACTGGCACAGTAGTTTAGACTTTTTACTAGCCCTGCCCTATGGCAAGACCATTAAAAGTGACACTTGTATATTAAATGTAATGAAAAAATAAAATAATATATATGTAAATAAATAATAAAATTATATTAAATTTAATTGATTTAATTCATTTATAGCTGTCATGGAGCAAATAAAAAATGTGTATACACATATAAACATTTACAAATGTACAAATTTTTAATTTGCTCCATGACTGCTATAAACATAATAAATGCATCTACCTATTCTTGCATATTTATCAGCAGAATTCTGTCAAATTGGCAAAAATGCACTTATTTTTGCAACAAAAAACACCCTAAAATCTAAAATGTATGTCTTTTATGCACTGTAATTATGATAAAATATGCATTTTAAATATATACATTATGAATATAAAAATACAAAAATGCAAATATATATGATGGCTATTATACATGATAATACTTCTTCCTATTCTTGCATATTTATCAGCAGAATTCTGTCAAATTGGCAAAAATTAACTTATTAAAAAAGACCCTAAAAACTCAAATGTATGTCTTTTATGCACTGTAATTATGATAAAATATGCATTTTAAATATATACATTATGACTATAAAAATACAAAAATGCAAATATATATGAATGCTATATACGTAATAATGCTTCTTCCTATTCTTGCACATTTCTATCAGCAGAATTCTGTCAAATTTGCAAAAATTCTGTCAAATTAGCAAAATACTAAAATTTTCAAGTCATAAAAAACCAGCAATCTATATGCATTATAACATAAATATATGGTCAGGGCCTGAAGTATTTAACCAAATGTATGATAACGGTGTAATAGACTTCCAATGGCCTACTATCCAAAACCACACTGCACCCAGAGAGCAAGTGACTAAAAAAGTACCTGTAGGCCTCGGACATTTTTAGAAACATGTCACTGAGGTATTGTACCAAAACCTGTGTCTTTACACTGAGCTGGACAGAGCCAGTGGCAGAAATACGTACTGCACGACAGCAAATAAAGAGCCGAGGCAGTGGAGCTGACAGAACATGGTCAGGGATTATTTCACACTTCTGGTCCCTGTGTACCACTAGTGGGATGCGGAGTAATTTGCAGCTTTACTGGAGCAGATGAGCCGACGGTAATAGGCTGTTGCGGGTCCGTGCGGACAGAGGTGACTGTGTTTCTATTGTTGGAACATCTAGAGGGTGTTAAAACACGTCTCCCAGCAAAAAATGGAAAGATGTCACACAATTTGTAGCTGTGATTCCTTGAAAATGTGTTTTCTGGGACAGAGGCCTAAATAATGATTTGTTCCTGAATCCATCCCTCTAGTTTAATAATATGCCTTGTAGATCAAAAGCAACGTTCATTCATTATTTCTTCTGAAATTGCAAGGGATTTGATAATGTCTATAAATTGTGAGCTCAAAATAACATAATGTTGACTACAGTTCAAAATAACATCATTCTTATTCTAATATAAACTGCACATATACTATTCCAGCAGACTAAACAGTAACAACATAGCCATTGAGCACTCTTTGATGAATTACAATGATGCATAAGTTTTCAGACCTCTCAAATATCTATAACACGCATACAGCTTTGAAAAAGGGCATTTCTCTGATGCAATTCAGATGAGCAAATAATCAACAATACAAAAATAAAACAAATTCAATATTACAAAATATCAGATCAGATAGCATGTAAACTGTACATTTTCCTAAAGTGACACTGTCCAACGGTTACATGAAAGCAGGTTAAATGAAATCAAAAGTAATCAAAATGAACTTACAGTAAAATGACTATTAATAATAATATCTGATCTAACCAAAAAAATTGCATGAAATTAAAAAAGAATAATAAAATGAAAAACAAAGCAGTGATATAACATGATTTTTACTGAAGCATTAGTTTGACTTTGAACTGACTTGGTTGTGGTAGTATATAGTTAATATAATAGTGTTTAATATAACAGATAAACATACTATCAATAAAAATAATATATTTAACATAAAAATAGACAGAACATATAGAAATATTAAATAATATTTCTTAAATAATATTTTACATAATAATATAAAAATATTAAATTATATTTTGTTAAAACAGTAATATATTTTATTATAATTAAATATATATTATATATTATATTAATATATAATTATTATTAATATAACATCATTATTCATTGATAGCATAAGGTCACATGAGACTAATGTTTTAGTCTCATGAAAATATGTAGCCTTGAAATATCTAATATAAATGATGTACCTGGACTGATTTGCTACCCAGATATCACTGCTTGATCAAAAAAAGTCTTACAGACTAATCCCTATAGCTAAAAAATCACATTTTAGAGTTATAAAACAGATCTAAATTGAATTCTTATGGTGAAATAGATATGTTTTTCTGTCATTGAAATGGAAGATGTATTCAAGCACCCAGGCTATTTATGAACACTGACTGCTAATAAATCATAAAAACAATGGCAGCTGGACATCTCCACACAACCGCTAAAAATGTTTTTCATAACAGTCTAGCTATTTCAGTTCTGAAATAACACGAAAACTGTGTTATTTATAACAGTCAAGTAGAATATAACACTTGCGTGGCGAGTGTGAGGCAGTTTTATACGGGATACGCCACTATTGCTATTGAGCTAAAGCAACAAAGCAAACTGACAGGCCTAGTGCGTTTCCATGGATACTGGGTATTGAGGAGGGAAAGGGAGGAGGGGGGGTTCGGTCGAGTGAGACGTATGAAAATGTGAGTATTTGACGCTTCTGTTACTTATGTCTGGTCACCTCTGTCAGACCTTTAGCCCGGTTGTCTAAGAAATATTAGAAGCTTCTCAAATCTTGTTTTTTTATAAGGTGTTGTGGCTGAGTGGACTAGACAGGATACACACTACAGGCTGATTAGCATGCTGTATGTGTACTGGGGCCTTGCTGGAGACTGTGAGCATGCTCAGTGCAGCCTGAATGACGATTCTGCTGCTGTTATTGCAAACAGTGCACTGCTTAAAAGACACCAAAGCATGACACTCGATCTAAATAAGCTTATTTTTCTATAAACAACTAAACAGTTTAGTCGTTTATTATTTGAGTAGACTGCCACTTTAGAATGTTAATCATCTCAAGCTCATTTTTAAATGAATGTTCAATACTGACAAGGCTACAATCACAGTATGATCAGGTCTACCAGAATTCAACAATCAACAAAAAAACATTTGCAATATCCTAAGTCTTAAAATAGTCATTTGATCTTAAGGCACTATATCATACTGTATATTGTGCACAAGAGCAAAATAATTCAGCATAAAATAAAATAAAAAATGTTATGAATAAAAAAAGTTATAAGTCCACAATATGAGCCCCATTTGTGACTGTGAATGGAAACTGAAAACCTGAAACACTTCATCAACTTGCAGAACTATCCTAGGGAATCCTAAAAAGCAAAAAATAACCCAAGACGCCTAGATCTTCTCACCTTGTTGGATGCCATCTCGCTGACCGAATGCCTGGTTTGGAGGGTCTCAAGCTGGTCGAGGCACCAGTCCAGCTCCTCTAGGGTCTCTGTGGCCAGTTTCTGGTAGGCCTCCTCTGGAGGAAGAGAAGGAGGCAAGGAGTCAGATCTCAGATGCTTTAGGGGTCTAGCTGAGGCTCCCAGCAGAGGGCCCAAACTGCTGTAGACCGCCATGTTGGGATATCCCGACAGAACGCATGGGTGATTCTTCATGCTGTGCTGAAGCCCTCCACAGTGAATGATGGGGCCCCAAATTGAGCCAAAAAACAAGGTTTCCAAAAACACCGTAATCCAAACGAGGCACCGTAACGACCAGGAGTGGGAGTCAGATCTCCTGAGAAGCAGGGAACACTATATCCCTTACGAAAACATACAAAGGGGTCACATAAACCAACACTCACGCCGCTCACAAACAAAACGACAGTCACTGCAGAATCTATAGTCCTACATGTCGAGGAGCCCGGAATCAAACCTCATCTCGGGACAGGGAGAATGTCATTGCTGTGGGCAGGCCCATCTCTGCGTGACAGATGCCGGTCTACATCCAAGAAGCCGAGGAACGTGCGGTGGCCCCTAGGAGCATGCGATCCGACCCATAACAAAGCATACAGGCATAGTGTCATAACAATAACACACACATATACTCACTAATACACGCATACGAGTACAAACGCAAAGCATACAGAGGCTTGATGCCAACAGATGAGTGACTTGTCCCTGTTTCCAGTCTGCCGCAAAAGAGAACAAAGGTGCTCGCATCTGCCTGCCCCCTTTTCTCAGAGCGGTGGATGCCCTGCACGAGCACGGGGCAGCCGTGGAGCGTCGCTAGCCGAACGTGAGCCGAGCTTCCTCTTGAAACAGAAGCCTAAAGCCTGCCAGTGCCACTGCATGCAGGAGAGAGAGGACTTCAGCTAAAACCTGACATGAACTTTACAGGATTTGGAGCTGAGGAGCTCAGGTCCTTCACAGCTGACAGTCTGAGAAAGGTTAGAGGTGTCCAATGTGTGTTTTTTTTTTGTTCTTGGAGAGGATGCTTTATGATTTAGGTTTATAAAGATTGCAAATAATTTAGTAATGAAATTGTGATCAGCATTTCAAGTTTGCTGAGATGGTACCATATATGACATGCAAAACATCTGTTGCATGTGCATTTTCAAAAAAAAGTTATTATGACCATATGAGGGCATAAAAATAAGTGAAACAAAATAACAAAAGACTTGCAAAACAGATGTCAGTGCAGCTATGCTAGACATGTTGCTTACTGGAAGCAACTATGAAAACAAAGCCAGACAGAATGCATGTGCCACATGTACACTCCTTTAACAAAGCATACATTATCTTATTCATTGCCTGTCTGTGTGTGTCTCTCTCTCTTTCTGCATGTGTGGTGAAGTACACAGGGCTGGGGTGCCACTTTCTCTGAAAGAGACTGCACTGACGTCAATGACATTCTTCTCGTGCTTAGCGCGACATCATACACCAGCCCATGAGAGGGCAGTGGCTCCATAGACAGGAGAGCTGTGGCAAAAAACTGGACTGGATTCCTCCAATCTGGGTCACAGGCTCTCGCTAACATGTCAGCAAGGAAATCCTCATCAAAACATTTGAAGATTTGTTCGGATACACTAGAAATCACAAAAAATAACCTTAAAAAGGTACAGATAAAAAAATAAACATGCAGTGAAAGTCTGTTCGATCACATCTTTATGCTCCAATTGTGAGGCTTTACTAAAATGCAACTGAATGCAAGTAAGATTTTTTTTTTGAAGTAAACAGTTTTTCTTGAGTTTTTATTTTATTTTTGCATGTTCATATGCATTTTCTGGGGCAAGGTTTTTCAAACAGCCATAATAGTGGGTCTGTACAAAATTTCAAATGAAAATAAAAAAAAGAGGCTTTAGCTCAATATGTACAATATGGTTAAAGGTGCTATATAAATACATTTAAATTATTAGAAGTGGTGCCTTGGCAACTAACTGTTTAATTTGAAGTAGTAAAATTACTAAAACTGAAATGAATTAAATCTATATAGAAATATAAAAAATCTAATCTAAAACTAATAAAAAATGGCAAAAGCACTTAACACAAAAACTGAAAATATAAAAATAAAAGTTAATTCATAATGTTAACAAATACTATATTAGTATATAAATTAGACCAATATGTTTGGTTAAAGGTGCTATAAATACATTTAAATTATTACTAATTCATTGGATATTTTAAGAATTTCTTTTGCATTCAGCACAATGACAACATAAATGCCAATCTTTTTTTTTTTTTGTAACAACATGTTGCCTTGATAACATGCCACTTTTCTTACACTTAAAATATATGGCTTTATATTTTAGGAAGCAGGTTTTTCACAATTTGATTATATTTGGGTGCTTAGCATAAAAAGGTTTGATATCCCATATTTGTATGGTGTTCTGGGTTGCTAGATGATTCCTTACTGGCCAAAGTATTAAAAAAAAGCCCACTTCCCTGTGGTATTCTGGTCTGTAAATATGGCTCGGGTCCCTGCTTCAATATAAGTCTATTAATCACTCGTTTCATTGTCTGATCACACCTCTTCTTAACAAGCTGCATGATTTTAGGAATCATACCATAGCAAGCCCCACTAATTAGTCATTTAGGTGGCACTTTTATCCACAGCGACTTCCAGCACACTTATTAGGGAGACACAACATGAAGCTAAGTGTCTTGCTTAAGGCTAGAATGGTGATAGTTTACACATCACCCCTTTAAGGGATTTTAGCCTTCTGGTGAGCAGGTCGTATCTTCAGCTGCAGGTGTCATCATCTCCTTTAAGGTATATGGATATCTAGGCAATCCACACTCAACACCCACCAGGGTCTTCTGACACTTTTAGTGGTCACATGACATCTAAACTCAGCATGGGGAGTTAAATTGTATAATGTGTCCATCTGCTCACTGCCTCTAGTACAAATCAATATTATAAATCTATAACACTGGTGCTTTTTATCTCTGCAGCTAAACATTCTGCTCATGCTAAACATCCAGCAAGCGCTCTGTACTACAGTTCTAGGTCAAACACCTGCATCTCAAAATAAGCTTTTCTTTGCAAACCTTATAAATAGACCGCAAACAGAAGTTAATCGATACAATGAGCAGTGCCTCACGATTATGGCAAAGACACTGTCACATCCCAGGATGCTCTATAAAGCATGAACAAACGATTAAAGTGAGTGAAAAAGTATCTTTAAAGCTTTAATTTGGGCATAGAGGTTATTACGTCATATTATTTAATATTTCTTATCCGCTTCAGAGTACATGACATGCACACTGTGATATGTGATGTCTGGAGGCTGCCCTCATGCTGGTATAGACAAAACTGAAGGTGCCACACAAAGACAACATAATCCCTCATATCAGACAGTATCAAACCGTTCTCCACAAATTAAAACAACCCTTATCCTAACACTAAACAAACCGAAAAGCTCAGAGAAATTGCTCTTTACAATATATCATATATCTGACAAAATGTGAACCCAATGATAATTGATTTTGATAAATAAAATAAAATAAAAATTAATTACATTTTCAATGAAAATTAGAAGTGGTGCCTCGGCAACTAACTGTTTTATTTAAAGTACTAAAATTACTAAAACTAAAACTAATAAAAATGACAAAAGCACATCAAAAATTAAAGCAAAAACTGAAAATATTAAAATAAAAGTTAATTCAAAATGTTAACAAGTACTATATCAGTATATAAATAATACTAAAATAACTGCTGTTAAATTGGTATGGCAATATTTAAAATATAAAAGTGAAGATACGACACCTGTGTAGGAGGTCTTTGTGATGGGAGGTGGGTTACACATGGGGGATCTCCTGGTTGAGAAAAAAAGGAAACAAAGAATGTGTCATTGTGTATGATGCAAACAAAAGTAACACAGATTGACTGCTGTTACCAAACTTACAACATCTACAAATTCTGTCAAGATTCAGTGTTATGGTAAAAATGTGTGCATGTGAATATGTTAAACTGAAAGCACTCACTTGTTATTGGCCCTTTCCTGTTGTACATTTGTTAAAGCAGCAAAATTATTCCGGACAGTCCTTAAACTTGCCAGAACCTGAGAAAAGACACATAAATTGAGTTAGACTGTGTTTCATAATTTTTGAAATTTTGAAATATTGACATATTTAATATTGCAATACCTGTGCAAAAGGGGTAACAATCATGTCATCACCGTGTCTACAAAAAAAGGACAAAATACTAATTACAACAGCACAAGCTTTTTCTATTTATAGTTTTCCTTCTTTGTCTTTCCATTTATGAATAAAACATGAACATTAATAAAAAGAAATGTATATGCCAATAAACCAGTTCTGCATTTAAAAGAGACAGTTGCTCACATGTCACTGGCGATGGAGGAGTTTCTGGACATAGACTTTGGTGAGAGGTCATAGTCGCTGTCAGAGCGGTACAGGAAGGACTCTCTCCTCTGGCTGTGCACAAAGTTGGCCTGGAGGATGAGACCTGACCCCGGGCTGGCCATGGGATCCAGCGGACTACGTCCTGATGAGGTGCCATTGTCCACATCAAAGCTAGGGAGACAAAACAACAGGACAGTTAGCGCTGATGTCAAATGAGAAAATTGGAGGACGTTAGAGTAGCATTTTACTCAGGTTGACTGAGTTAACAATTTCAAGTAATATGGGCATTTTGTTGACAAATTTTACCTTAGCAGCTGTTGCGATTAGCTTTTTAAAAAAAAAACAAATGTTTGCTATTTTCTACTATGAGCCTATAAAGGATATGTGTGTTAGGTTAGTTTTAAACTAAATTTTATGGAAAAATAGCATAAAATGTTTTTGGTTAGGTAACGTCTCGGTTACGTATGGTAACCCTCGTTCCCTGAAGGAGGGAACGGAGACGTCACGTCGGATGACTGACGAAATTGGGATCTCGCTTAGAGAGACCAATCTACTTCGAGTGTAAACTAAACGAGCCAATGCACATTGGCATGCGATTATTGCATCCAGCTGCCGCTGATCACAGCGTGAGTATAAGTAGGCAGCAGATGCAGCGCATATTCAGGTTTTCGCTGAGGAGCCGAGCCGGTGACCCGGCCGCTCAGCGGTGGTACAGGAGCTGTGGCGACGGGACGTGACGTCTCCATTCCCTCCTTCAGGGAACGAGGGTTACATACGTAACCGAGACGTTCCCTTTCAGTCGGTCACTCTCGACGTCACGTCGGATGACCGACGAAATTGGGATCTCGCTTAGAGAGACCAATCCACTTCGAGTGTAAACTAAACGAGCCAATGCACATTGGCATGCGATAATTGCATCCAGTTGCCGCTGATCACAGTGTGAGCATAAAAAGGCAGCCGTTGCAATGCATACTAGGTTTTCGCTGAGGAGCCAAGACGGTGACCCGGCTACAAAGCGGTGGTACAGCAGCTGTGGCTACAGGACGTGACATCTCTGTTCCCTCCTTCAGGGAACGAGGGTTACATACGTAACCGAGACGTTCTCTGCATTAGTACGTTAGTACAATCAATTTTATTTATTTTATTTTATTCTTTATTTTAATCCTATTTTTATTTATTTCATTTAAACTAATTTTTATTTAATTTAATCCTATTTATTTATTATAATCCTATTTTATTTACTTATTTAAATTTTTTTTTATTTTAATCATTATTTATTTTTTTTACTGTAAATTTCAGTCCGTAAAACGTAAAATGTCACTGCTGTATTTTTCATGCCGCTGCTATTTTTGACAGTAAATTTTACTGCCTTTTTTTTTTTTTACCGTGCATTAAGGCCCTGTCCACACGAACGCGGTTATTTTTTACAACTGCA